CAAGTCACTTTCAAAACTATTAGAATAAAACACATATTCTATTCAGAAATTCTTTATTTTATGTGAGACACGAACAATACCATAACCAATGTATTCAAACTCCTGGCGCTCAGTAGCGGTGGTTGAAGCCGTGACCGGAGGGACTCCATGGTACTGGTAGAGGTTGTGATGGTAACCATGGTCAGCTTCGCTGCCCTCTTATGAGGATGGTGCACGTAGGGGATGTATGGGGTGTAGTAGGGGCTGTAGGGATGGGAGACGGTAGAGGGTTCGGCTGACCTCTTATGAGGGTGGTGCACGTAGGGGTTGTATGGGTGTTGTAGGGCTGTAGGGATGGTGGACGGTAGAGGGTTCGGCTGACCTCTTATGAGGATGGTGCACGTAGGGGTTGTATGGGGGTAGTTGGGGCTGTAGGGATGGGAGACGGTAGAGGGTTCGGCTGACCTCTTATGAAGGTGGTGCACGTAGGGGTTGTATGGGGTGTAGTTGGGGCTGTAGGGATGGGAGACGGTAGAGGGTTCGGCTGACCTCTTATGAGGGTGGTGCACGTAGGGGATGTATGGGTGTAGTCGGGGCTGTAGGGATGGGAGACAGTAGAGGGTTCGGCTGACCTCTTATGAGGGTGGTGCACGTAGGCGTTGTATGGGGTGTAGTAGGGCTGTAGGGATGGTAGCGGTAGAGGGTTCGGCCTCTGCCTCAGGATCAGCGGACCTCTTGTGAAGAGGGTGGTAGTGAGCGGCATGGTAGTCGGCGCTGTGGTGGCGACCATAAGGAGGATAAAGGTAGCCTGTGCTTGGCTCCGCCTCTCGCTTCTCCACTTGAGAAGCGCAAGCGGCAGCCACCAGGAGGACAAACACCTGAAATACACAAAGCATTAAACACCATCTTTGGCAAAGAAGAATAACCGTCACAGAAGTGCAACAAATCAAACATCGCTATCTCCGGATCTTGTGGATTTCAAACAGTGAAGTTGGAACTCACCAAGTACTTCATGTCTGCAGGATTGGAGAGAAGGAACAGGGCGATGTGATCTTAGCAGAGAGATTCTCATCCTTATATAGCAGGAACTTCAGGGCCTTGAGATATCCGACCTCACGCCTAAGAAAGTAGGAAGCATTTACTGGTTAAAAATACGTTATTCATTTTGCAAGATTTTTTTATTTTATGTTTAATGATTTATCTATATTTGTATTTGTTTACCTCTCATTCTATCTGTTTGTCTATCTTTATGCCTTATGTTTGCATTATGCATGAATGTATGTATTACAGAGGGAACCGTCATTTGCGTTAAATATTCTATCAATCTTATCATCTGACTGTCATAAGCCAAACATCCTGCTAACAATAACTTACATGTATCTAGACCAAGGGTTCCGAACCTATTTGGTACTATGTTCTCCTTGTGAATTTTAATGGACTACCACGTCATATTTTTCATACTACATGAATTCCCTGTCCTTCCCCTCTCTCGATACCTGGCTCCCTTGCGTTAAGCAGACAAAAGAGATTGTGTTTTTTGTACGGAAGATGTAGTCAGCATGATAAATCAAGTAAATGATAATCAGTAGCATAAACAAAATACTTCGTGGATCTCAACTCCGTTCCTGTTGACAGATAGCTTACACCATTAATAAATCACAAGGAAAACTCTGGTGTTCATTTCTTTTTCAGTGTTCAGGTAAAAATCGACAAAATTACCAAGAGATGGACAAGTATGTGCTTCCTACGAATTGCAGCTCAATTGTTCAGAGAGCATTTCTCATTCTGTTCTGTTTCCTTTTGCTGAACACAAAGTCCAAAGCCAAATGTGATCGCTACTCAGGAATACCATCATGACACCAGTAAAACATTCAGTTATATATTACTCTCTTTTGCATGATTAAGAAAAAAGAAAAAACTACCTCACATATTGGATAGGAACCTGTAATCTAGACAGATGAAAATGTACATGAAAGGAATAATTATGTGCATATAACTGTTTACAAATATGCGTATATATTTATATGTTTACATAATGTATGAAAAGATTAGTACATTCAATATCTATGTATGTGTGTGTTTGTTTGTCTGTATATATGTGGATGTGTACATTCATATACATTTTATATATATGCATATGTATATACACATCTCTCTCTCTCTCTCTCTCTCTTTCTCTCTATCTATCTATCTATCTATCTATCTATCTATATCTATATATATATATATATATATATATGTATATATATATACATATAAATGTATATCTGTGTATACATATATATTGGTACATACATACATACATACATACATATATATATATATATATATATATATATATATATATATATATATATGTATGTATGTATGTATGTATGTATAACAAATATATGTATGCATCTAAGTAACCATATAATAATATGAACATTTATATATACATATATATTCATTCATTCATTATTCATGTATGTGTATATGTATATATATACATATGTAGTCATATATTCCTAAATACATTTATATATAAATATACACATCTATATACACATATGCGTGTAAATATATTAATTTATATGTATATGCATATAGATATAAATGTATGTAAATATATGTTTACATATATCTTAGATATGAAATTAATGTGTGTGTATGGATATACCTATGCATATATCAATATATATCTCTATATATCGATATATGCACATATACATACATGTCTATTTTTCTGTTTCTTTGCATATGTATATATATATGTTTATACATATATAAATACGCATACATATACAGAGAAAGATGTGTGCATATGTAAATGTGTATATGTGCCTGTATTACTTTGATAAAAATATATATGTAAACATCTATGTATAAATAGATACACAGACACACACACACACACACACACACACACACACACACACACACACAACACACACACACACACACACATATATATATATATATATATATATATATATATATATATATATATATATTCAGTCACACCTATCTGTATATGCTAAGATATTGCGAGAACTTTTGTCTTAAACTGTCAGTTGTAATCAACTGTTTATGCTTTTGGTAGTTTCACAGTTTATCTTTTCCTGGTAGTTTTAATATCCTTTTGCATCTAATGTCTTTGTGTGATTTTGGATCATTTCAAATTATTAATTATGAAATCTTCATGACTGGAAACATTCGTTCCAACTGCAAAGCGATATCTGAAGTAAGGCCAAGACATGAAGTGGAAGCCTGTCTTTAGGCAAAGAACACATTCCAAGTCACTTTCAAAACTATTAGAATAAAAACATATATTCTATTCAGAAAGTCTTTATTTTATGTGAGACACGAACAATACCATAACCAATGTATTCAAACTCCTGGCGCTCAGTAGCGGTGGTTGAAGCCGTGACCGGAGGGGACTCCATGGTACTGGTAGCGGTTGTGATGGTAACCATGGTCAGCTTCGGCTGCCCTCTTATGAGGATGGTGCACGTAGGGGATGTATGGGGTGTAGTTGGGGCTGTAGGGATGGTAGACGGTAGAGGGTTCGGCTGCCCTCTTATGAGGGTGGTGCACGTAGGGGTTGTATGGGTGTAGTAGGGGTTGTAGGGATGGGAGACGATAGAGGGTTCGGCTGACCTCTTATGAGGGTGGTGCACGTAGGGGTTGTATGGGGTGTAGTAGGGGCTGTAGGGATGGTAGACGGTAGAGGTTCGGCTGACCTCTTATGAGGGTGGTGCACGTAGGGTTGTATGGGTGTAGTAGGGGCAGGGATGGTAGACGGCAGAGGGTTCGGCTGACCTCTTATGAGGATGGTGCACGTAGGCGTGTATGGGGTGTAGTAGGGGCTGTAGGGATGGTAGCCGGTAGAGGGTTCGGCTGACCTCTTATGAGCTGCCTCAGGATCAGCGGACCTCTTGTGAAGAGAGTGGTAGTGAGCGGCATGGTAGTCGGCACTGTGGTGGCGACCATAAGGAGGATAAAGGTAGCCTGTGCTTGGCTCCGCCTCTCGCTTCTCCACTTGAGAAGCGCAAGCGGCAGCCACCAGGGAGACAAACACCTGAAATACACAAAGCATTAAACACCATCTTTGGCAAAGAAAAATAACCGTCACAGAAGTGCAACTACTCAAACATCGCTATCTCCGGATCTTGTGGATTTCAAACAGTGAAGTTGGAACTCACCAAGTACTTCATGTCTGCAGGATTGGAGAGAAGGAACAGGGCGATGTGATCTTAGCAGAGAGATTCTCATCCTTATATAGCAGGGAACTTCAGGGCCTTGAGATATCCAACCGCACGCCTAAGAAAGTAGGAAGCATTTACGAGTAAAAAAAAAAATACGTTATTCGTATTGCATTTTTTCTATCTTCCTATGCTTGTATGTCTGTATGGCAGAGAAAGACTTCCCTGTGGTCTTATATGATTCATTCTCTGTTATCATCTATTGACACTATAACCCGAAAGAATTATATATGATTATTAATGCCATACTGTATGTGGTAGATAATATACACATGTAGTTTTTTTGTTTTTATTAATATTAATTTCATATATGTACTTTAACAATAAACTTTTCAGCTTGCTATACAAGTAATCTCCTTTAATTTTGTATAATTTTTTTTATCTTTGTATGTTACAAATACTTTGTGATTTCAATTCTGCGCCTTTATCTCTGGCTCTTTAACATGTCTGAAAGTCAATATATTTCAACTTCAACAGAACTGAAGCTAGAATTATGCAGCATCATAGAATCTGATGTGATTACACAGATAAAATTCAGTCATGTTTTTCAAATCTTTGCATCTGGATATATAAAATCTTTGTTTTAACATTAGTCACTTCTAGTAAAATATAATAAAGTACTTTCTCATTTAATTAATTCCAGTCATATAGACTGTTTCACACAATTATACAAATAAACACATCTCATCAAAATAAAATTATTATAATCAATTTTAGTGTCTTTTTGTACCACCACAACTTGAACTACAGAAAAAGATAAAGAAAAAATAAAACATCTACAGAACATGGTATATTTAATGCCATAATACATAGCAAATGAAACATATTACTTTTAAGGCAATATGCCTAATGGGTATACAGTAAATATTTCAGGTTAATGATAGATTACTATGTGTTCATAAGAATCCAATACAGTGATACATTCATTCTCTCTATACATCTATAATCTTTATATACGAGGCCAAAATTCATATAATAATGCATCCTGTTCCTGCTGGCATTACTGATGAAAGGTGATTCTATACAAATCATTTGCGCACATGCACTCAAACCCTTAATAACATTGTTGTAACTTCATCTTTTCCTTTTACTTAATATAAAGCTTCACACTGCTATTAGATTACAAACAACATATGTCATATACCATCATCTTTTATCAACAAAATGCTCTGTCAACATTTTGTTACTGAAGGCTGATTTCCCTTACTTTAGGTCATACTGAAATGAAAGACAAAAAAGGACAAATTAGCCAATTATTTTCTCAACTTATCCATGCCTTGTCTTTACCAAAAAACATTAAACCAAAATTATTTTATTAAGTATAGTTAACCATTAATCCATTGGTGTCAGATACATGTACTAATCACTATAGTCTTGTTTTGTGAATTTTATTTTCACATGGATGTTTCTACACGTACCAAGTCCCCAAGAAATCAATTAGAAAGTCCTCTACGACCCCACTTAATTTTGGAATTTCCCCCCCCATTCTGTTAAAAGTGATACCATTATCATTATTATTGATATTACGACTATCATATCATAAATAATATCATTAGCTCTTCTTTTTAAATCTTTCTGAAAATCAAAGGAAAGCAGAAACAGGTGAAATTAGTGACACTAACAATTGACTTCTTTGTGTCACCAAATACTTATGTCTTTGATGATTTTGCCAATTTGCTGGCTAATCTAAGTGTTCAAAGCACATTCAAGTTAGGCTAAGTGTATTAAGCATTCTTAACTTGATAATCTTAACTTATGATCAGGTATTGGGACATAATCATATATTATGTTGGGAGCAACTTTGACATTAGAGATGACATTCCCTCTATTGTAACTCAATACTCTAAGACACTACAAAACTAAAATCTCAAGCATACTGACCATTACACAAAAGAAAAAAAAGAAAAAATATTGAACATGATACATATATGGATTTAAATTTATTAGACAACCAAGAGTAAAGAAACATACCTGTCAATAAGTGCGTTTCTCATGTTAGTCGATATAGCCGCTTGAGATGCATCATTGATCTTGAATATGCTCTCAATTACATTCAGTTCTGTAGCCGTAGTGTCCATCCCAGCAAAGGCTGCCCAATCGTTGACAGCCAAACCAGCAGCAATGGAATTACTGCCACGGTTTACTGTGCCTGCCTGATATATAACGACACTCTTAACTTGTTTCAATAAAGTTGATATAAGTCAGATATCTATTGCCTTTACTCTCATAAGGTTTTATCTTGTATAAAGAATGTAATGAAACTCAATGATGTTCATAAAATAACAGAGAGAGAGGGAGAGAAGGAGAGAGAGAGGGAGAGAAAGAGGAAGGGAGAGAGATGGGAGGAAGAGGGAGGAATTGAGAGTGAGGAGGAAGAGAGGAAGAGCAAGGGAGGGAGAGCAAGGTAGGAAGGGAGGGAGGAAGCAAGGAAGGAGGGAAGGAAGGGAGAACAGGGAGGAGGAGGGAGGGAGGAGGGAGGGAAAGGGAGAGACGCAAGAGAAGGGGAGGAGAGGGAGAGAGGGGGGAGAAGAGAAGGAGAGGAGGGAGAGGGGGGAGAGGAGGGGAAGGGGAGGGAGAGAGGGAGGGGGGGAGAGAGAGGGAGAGGGGGGGAGGAGAGAGGGGAGGGGGGAGAGAGGGGAGGGGGAGAGAGGGGAGAGAGGGGAGAGAGAGGAGGAGAGAGGGGAGAGAGAGGGAGAGAGAGAGGGGAGAGGAGAGGGTGAGGGAGAGAGAGGAGGAGGGAGAGAGAGGAGAGAGAGAGAGAGAGAAGAGAGAGAGAGAGAGAGAGAGAGAGAGAGAAGAGAGAGGAGAGAGAGAAAGAGGAGAGAGAGAGAGAGAGAAAGAGAGAGGAAGAGAGGGAGAGGGAGAGGGGAGGGAGAGAGAGAGAGAGAGGGGAGAGAGAAGACAGAGAGAGACAGACGAGAGACGAGAAGAAGAGGAGAGAGAGATGAGGAGAGCGAGATGAAGAGGGAGAAAGAATAAGAAGGAAGAGAAAGAGAAGGGAAAGAGGATAAGAGAAAGAGAACACGAGAAACGAGGAAAAGAGAGGGGAGGAGAGGTGATGAGTGAGGAAGAGGGGAGAGGTGAAGGGAGAGGAGGGGGAATGAAGAGAGACGAGGAGGAGGGAGAGAGAGAGAGGAGAGGGCGAGAGAGAGCAGAGGAGAGGGGAGGAGAGGAGAGGGAGGGAGAGAGAGGAGATGGGAGGGAGAGGGGGAGAGAGAGAGAGAAGAGAGAGGAGGGGAGAGAGAGGAGAGGAGAGGGGGAAGAAGAGAGAGGGAGAGGGGGAAGAGAGAGAGAGAGAGAGAGAGAGAGAGAGGGGAAGAAGGAGAGAGAGAGAGAGAGAGGGAGAGAGAGAGAGAGGAGGGAGAGGAGGACAAAGAGAAGAGGAGAGAGAGAGAGAGAGAAAGAGAGAGAGAGGGAGAGAGAGAAGAGAGAGAGAGAGGGAAGAGGGGGAAGAGAGAGGAGAGAGGGAAGGGGAGAGAGAGGAGAGGGAGAGGGGAGAGAGGAGAAGAGATGCGAAGAGAGAGGAGAGAGAGAGGGAGGAGAGAGAGAGAGAGAGAGAGAGAGAGAGAGAGAGGGAGAGAGAGAGAGAGGGAGAGGGAGAGAGAGAGAGAGAAGAGAGAGAGAGGAGCGGGGAGAGAGGAGAGAGGGGGCGAGAGAGAGAGAGGGACGAGGGGGAGAGAGAGAGAGAGAGGGGGAGGGGGAAGAGAGAGAGAGAGGGAGAGGGGGAGAGAGAGAGAGGGGGAGAGAGGGGAGAGGGGAGAGGAGAGAGGAGAGAGGGGAGGAGAGGAGAGAGGAGGAGGGACGGGGGGAGAGGGGAGAGGAAGAGAGGGAGGAGGGGGAGAGAGAGAGGAGAGGAGAGGGGAGGGAGAGAGAGAGAGAAAGAGGGAGGGGAAGAGAGAGAGGGAGAGGGGGAAGAGAGAGAGAGGGAGAGGGGGAGAGAAGGAGAGAGAAGAAGAGAGAGGGGAGGGGGAAGAGAGGAGAGAGGAGAGAGAGGAGAGGGGAGAGAGAGAGAGAGAGAAGGAGAGAGAGAGAGAGAGAGAGGGAGAGAGAGGAGAGAGAGGGAGAGGGGAGGAGAGAGAGAGAGAGGGAGAGGGGAAGAGAGAGAGAGGGAGGGGGGAAGAGAGAGAGAGGGGAGGGGGAGAGAGAGAGAGAGGGAGAGGAGGGAAGAGAGAGAGAGAGGAGAGGGAAGAGAGGGAAGAGGAAAGGGAGAGGGAGAGAGGAGGGAGAGAGAGAGGGAAGAGAGGGGAAGAGAGAGAGAGGGAGAGGGGGAAGGAGAGGGAGAGGGGGAGAGAGAGAGAGGAGAGGGGAAGAGAGAGAGAGGGAGAGAGAGAGAGAGAGAGGGAGAGGGGAGAGAGAGAGGAGAGGAGAGGAGAGAGAGAGAGAGAGGAGAGGGGGAGAGAGAGAGAGAGGAGAGAGAGAGAGAGAGAGGAGAGAGAGAGAGAGAGAGGAGAGAGAGAGAGAGAGAGAGAGAGAGGGAAGGAGAGAGAGAAGGAGAGAGAGGGAAGAGGGGGAAGAGAGAGAGAGGGAGAGGGGAGAGAGAGAGGAGAGGGGGAGAGAGAGAGAGGGAGAGGGGGAGAGAGAGAGAGAGGGAGAGAGAGGGAGAGGGGAGAGAGAGGAGGAGAGAGGGAGAGAGGGAGAGAGAGAGGGAGAGGGGAGAGAGAGAGAGAGAGGGGAGAGAGAGAGGGAGAGGGGAAGGAGAGAGGAGAGGGATGGGAGAGAGAGAGAGGAGAGAGAGAGAGAGGAGAGAGGAGAGAGAGGGAGAGGGGAGAGAGAGAGAGAAAATTGCTTGTGCTTGTCCATGGCACTTATGTTTTTAGTGAACTTGTTTTTGTGATGTCTTTCCCAAATTGCCTCCCAATGAAAAAGTGGCACAGACAAGACTAGTTACAACTCTTGAGAAAAATAAGATAACCATGTTTTTTTTTTTTTTTTAGCAAAAAGCAAAAAAAAAAGTGTAACACATGTCTTTCACTCAAAATGTATCTCTACAACATATTGATGCTAAAACATTTTTATGGTAATCTGGGTGCTATAATGCTATATATATATATGTGTGTTATATTATTAGTGCAGGGAGGTTCAACTGGCAACTGAGCTGTAACAAAATGCTATAATTTTTTCTTTCAGAAAATGAACTAACCTTTGCAAAAGTCAGAAAGATTAAGCAAACTGTTCAACTATTTTTCTCATAACTCCTAAAAGATATAAATCTTTGGAACTCCTTTTGAACATTCAAAACTTATCCTCAATGCAGCACAGAAAAATATAACCAGATTTCAATTCAATTTTTTTTGAATACATGAAAATCACTATCTGAGGATGGGTGGGTTAGCAACTCCAGTGGAACTTTATCAATACTAAAAAACAACTAAATATACAAAAAGCAAGTGGAAGTCAATCTGAGGAAACCACAAGCCACTTTTATATGCACTTAAAAAAATAAGATCAATATATACATAAATAAATAAACAATGGATTAAAAGGTTCAGGATATTCTTACAGTTTTAGGCATTTACATTTGAACATTTTGGTCTCATGAATTCCCTTAAATTTTATTTTATGTACATTTACTACTGTTACAAGCATTTCACTTGAAGACTACTTCATCATTCCCCTCAAATTCATCATTTGAGGGGACAGACCTGACGTTATCAAGTGATCTTCCAAATGTCAAGGGGGAATTTGACAAGTCTTGAGGATATGCTGGGAGGCCAAAAGTTCATGTACCTCATAATACCCAAATATCCTATTTTTGGCATTTTGGGGGAGATAGTGCCCTTAAAATAATGTTAAATAATATGTAGAGTTGATAAAAAAAAATTATGTATATACCAACATTCCTACATTCTTACATACATGCATACATATAAGTCTAATTATGAAAATAAAAAACAATATGGTATTAGTAAATAATCATAAAAAAAGATGAATAAAACAATAATAATCTTTTAACAAATCCTAGCAGACTTAAAGGATTTCATACTAACCACAAGGGGAACCTGCAGCAGCATAGACAATTCATCTAGCTCCTGGGTAGGTGTAGCTGGATGGACAATTCCTCCTTGGTTGGAAATTACTGAATATGTGCCCACAAGGACATTGTTGGCAATTGTGTGACGGAACACCTCTACTTTGAGTACATCATGAATTGTCTCCTCAGTTTCCTGTGAAGTAGAAAGTTGTAAGACAATGATAACAATAAAATACTAATAACAAAATAAATAAATACATAAATACATAAAATACCTTTGCTGAAATATTATACACTCAAAACCAACAAGGGCAGATATACAGATCCATATTCTAAAAAACACTAAAAATGGAGCATGTGCCTCTTCACAGCAGGAGTTCAAGTTCTGAAAGCCAGAACAACATTGTATGCACCAGACAATCACTCAGGCATGGAAGAGCCTTGTTAGCTTCAGTACTCGCGACAGGACTTGGATTGAAGATAATAATATAAAGATATGCTTTTTTTCTGAATGTTTGGGAGTTTGTGAATATACAGAATCTATGCCTTCCCTTTGCAATGTTATTTTTCTCTTTCTGCATAAGAGTTTTAGCCATTTTTGTCATTTTCCAGATGGTACTAAAGTGTTGGTAGTCCATAACTCAGTGCAAGAATAAAAACAAAAAATTTTCTTTGGTAATAGCATCCTCTCTGGAGCCAGCACTCTTCATGGACATTCAATACACGTTTTTTGATGGAAATAATGCAAAATCCCCTTCCTAAATACCAAATACGTGTAATTCCCCTCCAAGAGCTTTGTGCACTTGTAGTGAGTCATCCTCCTTACATCAGCCTTCAACCTAAATGCTCACAACAGCAAGTTCTCATCATCCCAGCCCACAGTCAAATTTTCATACGAGGGGATTTTAAAGTCACCCGACATTCAAGCCAACTTTTTTCATGACATGATGGTCATCCAGAACATAGGGATTAATAGTATTTAAAAGAAAAAAACATTTTCCTGAAATTTCACAGAATGGGGGAAATCAGACATGGTCACTAGGCCTAGTGTCTCCTGGGTGGCTAAGCATATGCTTATCTGATGCAACACAATTCACAAAAAAATGCAGTACATAATCTTAAGGCAAATTAGTTCATCTGCGTAAAATATAAGTTACTTGACACACATAGCTAAAAAAAAACAATGTAAGTGGAGATGGCCAAAGACAATTAAGATAAAGGCAAAAGAGAAGAGAGTAATTAGAAAAGCAGGAAATATTTCTTGGACAACACAGTACTTCTTAAAAAGGATTTTTTCCCTGTAATAATACTGGCTACATTCTATACATACATATCTGCTTTAAATACTGTGATCTGTCATGGACAGCTAACAGTTTCAAGGAAACCTGATAATGGAGCGTGTTCACTTGGCATGGTACAATTTAGGTAGGTTCTAATTTGATAATATTGCATCATGAAGGCCTATAATCTCATATGATTTTAACTGGTCAACTTGGTCAACATAACACTAGCAGCAAACACTTGGACCATTTTAACCCATTGGATCTGGGGTATATGATGACCATGTCATGACAAAAATAAAGTGACCATGGGCCAGATGATGGGAGCATGCAGTCACGTAAAAATATGGCTATGAGCTGCAGCAACTAGAATGTGCCATCATGAGAAATATGGCTGGGGGTATGGTGAAAGGAATGACTCAGCATGCATGTACAGATTTTGGAGGATGATTAAACTCAGTTGGCATTTAGAACGGGGTTTTCTAGCAAGATTTCCACCATCAAACTAGGTTGGAATGTTCCATCCGTGAGCCATGGCTAGAAGAGCACTAGCTCCAGGGAGGACATTATTTCTAAGCTCAGGATTCTGTTCCTGCCTGCCATGAGTGGTGGCACGTGTTGCATTTCAGAAAATTGAATATTGCACAAATATGAAAATTTTACATAAACAGAATTATGTTTTTATAGTTACTGTTACTGCTCAGAGTTGTAGACTACCAAAACAGATATGGGGTCTGAAAATTACAAAATAAAAAAAAAAATTATATAGAAAATGACATAGTAACATTGCAAAGAGGAGGAAACGAATCTTGATACAGCACACGTGTGATCCTGTGGGCTAGGCCACTCAAGTAGACTTATGGTCTGGATTAGGTCCACCCAGATTCAACAGGTTAGTTTTTATAAATATGAAGAATATGAATATGAAAATGATTCTGAAGATGAAGATATAGACAAGGACAAAGATGATGACAATAACAATGAGAATGAAGAATTAATCCTTTTACAACGGGTGTCCCAGATATGAGACACCCAGAAAAATAAACATTGTGGGTGTCCCGCCAGTGTGACACTGGATTGGAGCTTGTGCTCCGATTCCGTCGCAGGCCTTGGCTGGCACACGGGTAGATTCCAGGCCAGCCCCATAAAGATGAAGGTGACAGTGGAGATGAAAATAAAGATGAAGATGATAACAAAAACAACAATGATAATGAAAATGAAGGACTGGCAAAATTAAACGCAATACCCGTACCAAAATTCTCTCTTGAAACTCACCCTATCTATGTCAGGATGAACAAGAGCAACATAATCATTGCAGACAACCACATTTCCCAGTGCAGATAATCTCTCTTCTACACGCTGGACCTTGACTTTATCTGGAAGGTGATCACGAATGTGTTGCAATTCCTGGTCAGTTGTGCTGTTTGGTACAAGAAGCCCATGGCGGTTACCTGAAAATTAGATGTGTTAGCTTTAAAAATCTAATCAAAAAGCATACATATGTCACTGGAATGTAATGTTTGTGAACTATTTCTAAAACATAGAATGTCACTGGAAAAAAATCAAACTAAAGAATCTATCCTAATACAGATATCTATAAAAAAAATCGTCTTTTACACATTAAGTTTATGAAATGGACAATTACTTTTCAGTTTTGGGTGGGAGCATATGTTATATATTTGTATCAGTGCAAAATGGACAGCAAAGACAAGTTTCAAATATACATTGATGTGTGTTTGGGGAGCATCAATGTTATATTATTTATTATGTAATATCTCAAGTACAAATAAATGGCTCAGCAAAGACATAAGTTATCATAATTAATACTATACAGGTAGAGTACTTACCTCTATTAGAAAATGTGATAGTCAGTGACTATTTCCCTATCCTCTATTAATATACTATTGCTACTAATAGTAAGATATGTAGATAATAGTGTAGGGGTAGAAGTTATCATAATCTCTCAGGAACTATATTGTGCACCCTCATAAATCTCCTAAGTTATTCCCTATGTCATAATGAACACTCACTAGAGAATGGTCTTTCCCTTGCATCCGTTTGGTTTTATTACCTTGTATTTCCTCTCTCAATGTCTCCTCATTCCTAGATACATCCCATCTCATGATTTCTCTAATATCTCCTCAATGAGACATAAATTTACCCTTAATCTGCACTCAACTCTTAGCATTATGCTAAAGCTACTCTAATTTATTATGTTTTTCTCCTTTACAGCTATATTTTTTAGCTTTTTATACTCAAACCCCCTCTCACCAATAGTTATGTTCAGTTTATAGCTACACTTATTCTAATACTTTAGGAAAGCTAATTTATGCACAAATTTACATTGATATCACTAGTAAGAAAGTGTCTTGGTCGGTATTCAGTTCTATGACTAACATAATAATATTATTGGTGTGTTTATCTCCCAACTTTCAGTATATCTACCCCAACTCTATCATTCTGCATTATTGTCCGAATAAGTTATTACTACATATTCCTGTATATTTGTAATAGACCAAGCCTTATACAAGCAATTTAAGACCCACTTTAAGTGGGGTTCATTAGTAGAGATCTCAATATAGATGCGATAAGTGGGTAATTTCCATATTATCTCCGCCGCTCTCATTGATATCGAGCAATTTTCGTATCGTTGTGATTCCTCTCATCTCTCCGATATTACAACGCAATATATGCGATGTAGTTTTATTTGCGGAATTCCCCTTGTAGCGGTCTAAACTGCCCCGAGATAGCAGAGTCTCAATGATATGTCAGAGCAACGGATGTTCTTAACTATAAATAATAGAAATTACCCAAAATAATTTATTACGCCCACAGTGACAAAATAAGCCATGTTCTACATGACCTATCCCGCTGCAGGGACGCTGTGCACCCTGCACCTCTACCTGATGAAGGATTCAATACCACCATGCTCTTCTTTACGCAGGATAAGAGCGCACGAAGAATTAGTATATTGCTGGTAGATATAGTATCAGATAAATGAAAAGAGTCGGTAAAATAATATTCCTTACCATAATATACCCTGATAATAGTAGAGGTTAGTAGCCACGCCTCTCTTCTGACTACATTAGTTATATTATACATATAGTATTGAACGCATATAGTCATCTCTTGATAATCATTTTTATCTTTCACTAATAATCTCCGTCTATACATCATTGTGACTATTTAACAATGCTGAACCTATGTCAATGTACTCTATATATTACTGATTCACAGTGGTGATGTACCAAAGTATAATTATGTTACAAAATTATTATAGCTACACCTTAGATTAATACATTATTGTATTGTTAACACTACTCATAGCACCTTGACATATAATACTTAATATACATATATACAGTATTATTATAAGTGGAGGTATATGCTTATCTTATCTTTAGCAGGGGCTTTGATTGGTCTGAGACTTTACATAGGTAGCGATATGTTTTATATATCAATACTCGTATTAAGCTAGATATATATATATCTCACAGACAAAATTATTTATCTATGCTAGTAGAACTACTCTTTATCACATGCCCTCCCTATCTTGCTTATTATATTATATTTATATTTATTTACTGCTAGGTAATAGTATATACAGGTGGGGATATAATATATATATACATAGCATAATATAAGGGTATTTTTTTTTTTATTTTTTATACATTCTCTCAACTATATAACGCTGAGGTAATTTTTGTGAGGCCCTAATAATATAAAAATAACTATGAGTATTGTTACAATGTTACTGGATGACTAGAGGTAAATAAATTACCCGAACGATAATACACAATACAGATTATACCATATAGATTAATGGAGCTAAGCCATATGAAGGTAAATATAAGTTATTAATGAACATATGATTCAAAAAAGTATTAATTTCTCAGTTTAGATATATAAAATAATGAGCTGAAAGCGTTACATTATCTATAATTCTGATCTAATAACTACAAGTTATATAGTGACAAAAAGAAAGACACTTTATAAAACATTTCTATGAATATTATAATACCTTAACCTGTTCCTATGTGGAATATTATATCATAATATATATATATACATTATAAATATGAATAGTAATAGATATAATATAGAATATAATTAAAACACTATCCTCAAGGTAGTTCCTCAATAATAATAATACTATAACTAAATATCAGAATACCCATAATAATTGTATTTAGTATTATTAGCACCTAATAAATAAATATGATATGGTATCTGCCATATAAGAATATTACTAAAAATCATATTATATTTATATATGTGACAATAAACATTTCAGATCTCTAACATTACATAAATACACTGGGAGATATCTTCGTTCCCCTAGTTGTACTTATTTTATAAGTGCAAATTTAAAGTAAAATACCAAGATTATTATTGTGGAAAGTTATATTAACATAGTATATTGAGCATACTAATAGAATAAAGTTCAGATTTTAAATCTTATATATAGACATATATATTGCTTTTCTCCTATAAGAACTATCTAAATTCAGTAAATTGTATCCTAATTACACTACGAATAAGTAAAAATATATAGTGAGAAATAAGGTGCGAGTATTCTAATCATGTGACTTATATTCTTTTATTCAAACTATAATATATAATATTAGGACATGCTCTCAACGCACTTACATATATCATATAATACGAAGACCTTATAAGATACTATATATATCACAATGATACATATATAATAGAATAATAAGAACAAGACTAAACACCACGTTACAGACTAAGAATAGGCATAGTTAATAATATCCTTCGTAAACGATCATATATCCCACTAAATTTTCTATTAGTAAATCATTCATCAATAATTGACAGCGAACAGCACATGTTCTCTAAATTCATAAGCTCGTGAGCTTTATATTATCACACGTTATATAGGTTATAAGATATAGTCTCTATCTACTCAATAGCATATGCGGTTATAATATATATCAATCTTTCTGTATAATTAACTGTACATCCGATGAAGTGAAGGAGCGGCCACGTTACTCAGGGTGCAGTAGGTATGCAATTACCTTGCACTAATGTGAGCAATCATATTAAAATAGCGCCATATTACGTCTAACGATTAATATGTTATCCAATTCCATTTATCACATGTGGAATTAAACCCTCACTCTCTCGAGTCATTATATACATAGTTATTAGTTATCTTAATATAGATGGATAATTTAATATTTCTATACTCATAAATTTAATATATATGATGTATTATACACCCATGTTACCTGACAGCCCTTCCTGCATGGCTATAGCTAGTTATAACAATAAGCATGTCTGAAATAATGAAACCCTATAAAGGATTGTATGCAATAATATATTATACTTCGCCATAGTTAAAAGAGCTGGAGCAGTATATAGTACATAAATATAATTATGTAAACGAAATCTCGTAATGTCACTCAATGAATATAATTTTTATTTGAAATAATTTGTATATATATAAACATCAGATAAAAGAACCTATCAGAAGTATTATAAATATATGGCATTGATGAAAGCTATACCTAATGTGGTATATAACAGTATCTTCCAATCTTTATCATATTAACATAGCATTTAGATATACACATCTAACATTGTATACATTTACACATACTATCAGCGCGTGCATTGTGTCATGTCATATATAAATCTCAGAGTTTTATGTGTATGTGATGTATATATAATTTTATTATATATCATATATAACATTATATAAATATTATTACTCACTATATATAATATAACTATACTATAGTAGTATGTGAAGTGTGTCAGTTAGTATATGATATAGTGATAGATAAGAGATAAATTAATATGATTATATAGTATATATTATATTATATATATATATATATATATATATATTAAATATATATAATATATATTATCAATATTTCTAGATATTAAAATAATAATAAATATATATATATACATCTTAAATACATATATAGTATATGCTTTAATAGTATATTATAATATATATATATATTATATATTATATAAATTAATATATATATAATATATATATATAATTAATATTAGCATATAAGATAGATGTAGATGATTAGAAGAGATATAGTTACATAATAGATGAGATATGTATAATAATAAATAGTAACGAGAAATAGAGTATCTATATAAGATATAAGATAGATAGGAAGTAGTAAAGAGATAGATATAACCGTATGATATACATTCTCAATATTCTCTCTCCTCTCTCATCTTTCTTCTCTCTCTCTCTCTCTCTGCGATGCTCTCTCTCTCTCTCTCTCTCTCTTCTTAATATTATAATCTATATAAATATATAAATTATAGAGAGAAGTGAATATATAGATAGTGATAGAGTTATATATGTTAAGGTCCTTAGATGTACTACATAATATATAGAAATTATATATATATTATTATATGATGATTTTATAGTATTAATTTAATATACATACTCT